ACAAATGGAAGAGAGAAGAAAGGGAAAAGTACAACATCTTTAATAGGGTAATAAAGAAAAAATGCAACGAGGCAAAAGAAACATGGATAAATGATCAGTGTCAACAAATAGAGAAGAACCAAAACAAAGATAGCAAATACATGCATTCCAAAATCAAAGAAGTAAATGGAATAAAAGGGTGCTCAAATACAGGATGCATAAGATCAAAAGGAGGAGATATTTTAATGGACAACGGGGATGTCTTAAACAGCTGGTCAGGATACATAGAAGAACTTTTCAAAGATAACAGGGGATCAAGGACTGGTGATGGGTCTCATTTAAATACTGAGAAATGCCTAAGCGTCTGAAACAGCTTCTCCCAATCCAGCCAACCGTACCTGCCCGTGGTGGTCCCTGTCCTCACTGACACGGCTCTGGCGAATGGCGAGTTGTTGGCGCCAACAAACCAACCCCCCCGTTTCCTAGACGGGTTAAAACAACAGGATGGGAGCAGGTGTGGCCCCACAAGGTGCAGGAGGCAGAACCCACTGATGCGTGGTAGACGCTATGCTCCTCATTAACACACCCCTACTCTCCCTTGAGTGGGTGTCTAATCTGCCTAACACCTCTACTGCTTTTATCAACACACCCTCTGTGGCTGAGAAGGTACCAGCCAGTTTGAGAGTGTCTGGGTGCAGGGGATGGACCGAGCGGAATGCCTGACTTGCTCTCTGGCTGTGAAACCTCTTAGTAAAGGCACAACGACCCAGGACGTGACGATGCAATGGCTTTCCCACTTGGCCGATATCTCATGAAAGAGTCGAAAACTTTAGCCAGTAGCCATTGGTGGCGGGGAATGGGCAACGTGAACCCTACTGGAATTACACGATCACTGGGCAGTTAGGTCTTTCCAGTCTCATGAAAACTCCTTGTACCCTCATATCCTCAACATGAATGGCCCCTTCTCAGGGTGGGCAGGCAGTCCACAGACACCCCAGTCCACAATGCCATTCAAAGATAACAGAGGAAAAAAGCCGGTAATAAAGAATGAAATAAATGGACCACCCATACTGAAAGCAGAAGTACAAGCTGTCATTAGGAAAATGAAACAAGGAAAAGCCACAGGGCAAGATAATATTCCAGTTGAAATGATTATCGCGCTTGAAGAACTAGGCACTGAAATAATAACAAAGCTCCTAAATGCTATTTAAGACAGCGGTGAGATCCCAGAAGATATGATGAGGTCAGTTTTTATACTTTACCTAAGACACCAGGTGCCACTGAGTGTGATATGCATAGGACAAATAGCCTTATGAGTCATTTTACAAAAATATTGCTGCGAGTAATAATGGGAAGATTGAGAAAAAGGATATCTAAAACGCAATTCAGCTTTGTTCCCTGACAAGGGCTCCAGAAATGCTATATTCACCTTAAAAATGTTAATGGAAAGATGTATTGAAGCACAAAATGATATGTATTTATGCTTCATAGAATATTCAAAGGCGTTCGATAAAGTTAGACATGAGGAGCTATTTAAAATACTGGAAAAGCTAGATATAGATGGAAAAGATCTAATAATTATCAGGAATTTGAACTGGGACCAAAACGCTGCTGTACGAATTAATGGAGAATACAGTGAATATGTGTTATGCCACCAGACCTCTTTAACATGTACAGTGAAACAATCCTTAGAAACATAGAAGAATGTCCAGGTCTCAAAGTAAATGGAGAAAAGATTAATAACATCAGAAAGTGAACGTAAAGGATTATTGTTGAATGTAAAGACAACAGAATGCATGGTAATATCCAAAAAAGCAGCAAATCCTAGTTGTAATCTCATTAGCACAGGTGAAACGATCAAACTAGTCCAACAGTTTAGATATCTAGGATATATGATAACATCTGATGCGAAATGTTCCACTGAAATAAGACGGAGAATTACAATGGCTAAGGCTAGTTTCAATAAAATGAGCCCAATCCTGAAAAATAGAAATATTTCAAGGAACACCGAGTGTCGTGGAAGGAAAAGAAATCAAATGAGGTAGTGCTTGATCAAGCCCACGTGGTACGCTCAATGTTAAAAACAATAAGGAAACGACAAATGCAGTTTTTGGGACACATAAATAGACATAAGGGTCTTGAACATCTAGCTCTTACTGGCAAAACTGAGGACAAGCGAGGCAGGGGAAGGCCCAGAACAACATACTTAGGGAACCTAAACAAATTGGTAACAGGGAAAGATAAAGGAAACGTAGCTTTTTTCTGAGCATCTGAGCAAAGGAATGAAAGGAGTACCATGATCGCCGATGTCTGTCTCAGATCTGGCACTGGACGAATAATAATAATAATAATAATAATAATAATAATAATAATAATAATAATAATAATAATAATAATAATAATAATAATAATAATAATATCTGCATGGTTCTTGAAAAAATTGGCTGTCCCCCAATACTACTACAGCTCATCATCTCTTTCCACGAAGACATGAAGGCCACCATTCAGTTTGACGGTTCAACATCAAACAGCTTCAACATCAATAGCGGAGTAAAGCAAGGTTGTGTCTTAGCATCAACCCTTTTTAGCACTTATTTTTCTGTCTTACTGCAACACGCATCCAAAGAGTCAACAGGGGATGTCTTCCTCCACTAGAGAACTGATGGGTTGCTCTTCAATCTTGCTCGACTCAAGGCCAAGACCAAGATCAACAAAACAACAATACGAGACCTTCTCTTCGCCGATGATGCTGCTCTTGTTGTTTGTTTTGTTTGTTTTTGTAAAGTATTTTACGGCGCTCGCAACTGCATAAGGTCATATGAGCGCGCGGGACAAACCTAATATTTTCAGTAGGTAGGAAATTTTGAATTTTGCCCGGGTGGCGGCCGAAGCCTACTCTTATCGATTTTAGACCACCAAAGGATCTTTAACATGCGCAAATTGCACACGGGCCCTCCGAGATTTTTCGCCCTTGTCCGAGAAGGCTAGGTGTAGATCTTTCCTACCAGAAAATCAGGGGTGTGGCAGAAAGACAGCAGTAAGGAAGAGCCAAGGAGTAGCAGTAGAAAGGCTGAAGAAAGAGTCAGGAGCCCAGAGGATGGGGCAAAGGAGAAAGGAGGTGAGGGGGTGGGGGCTGAAAGTGGAAATGAAAGCAGACAACAGAACATTGCTAGAGATCAGGAAAGGAGGTGAAAGGAGACAATTTTAGAGAAGAAAATATTTAAACCCGGGACCTTTGAATGAGAGGCCAACACCTTAACCTCTAGGCCACGAGAGCCCCCTGCTCTTGTTGCTCCCAGTGAATCAACCCTACAAACAATAATGGAACAGTGTAAAGAAAACAGTCATCCTTATCCAAGAAGGGGCCGAGCAGAGCCATATATGGCTGAACGACAAGGAACTTGAGACAGTGGACAAGTTCTGTTACCTGGGGTCTACCATCAGCTCTACTACATCACTTGATTATGAGATCAACATCAGGCTAGGGAAAGCAGCAACAACTTTTGGAAGGCTGACAAAACGAGCATGGGAAAACAAAAGATTAACAATAAAAAATATCAAGATTTACGAAGCATGTGTCCTCAGCACACCCCTTTATGGTTCTGAAACATAGACCTTGTCCAGCAGGCAAGAAAAGCGCCTCGACATTTTGTATCTCAGATGCTGCCGCAAGATCTTAGGCATTTCGTGGGGTAAATATAGAAGTGTTGGCCTGGGCAAACCTCCAGAGCATGACAACTATCCTGTGTTTAAAAAGATTGAGATGGCTGGGCCATGTCAAAAGAATGGACGACAACCGGATTCCGAAGCAACTTCACTATGGAGAACTTGCCCAGGGAAAGAAACCAAAAGGAAGACCTAAATTGAGGTACAATGACACCAACAAAAACGGCGTATCTAAGCTGGGAGTAGATGTTAGCATCTCGGAAGAAATAGCTGAGGACAGGAAAACATGGAGAATGATGATAAAGGAAAGATCTATAATGCTAAAGAGCAGCCTTAGAAACAACCAGGCTGGGAAGCGCCAACCACAAAAGGAAAACAACAGAGCTTCGATCTACGGCACTGACATGCAAGTACTCCGACAGAATCTGCGTGAAGACAACCTTGAGACCATCCTAAGTTAAATTGACCGTCTGAATGGACGAAAAGAGCCATAATACAATAATAATTGTAATAATAACAATAAAGATAAAAATAATATCAATGATAATAATAATAATAAAAATAATAATACTAATAACATTAATACTACTACAAATAATAATAATAATAATAATAATAATAATAATAATAATAATAATAATAATAATAATAATAATAATAATAATAAGACTACTACTACTACTACTACTACTACTACTACTACTACTACTACTACTACTACCAAGTGGTATCCCCCGCCTGATACCCTCCATCTCTTAACACACACGATGGGGCGGGGGGAGGGGGGGGGGGTCTCGTGGTTCGAGAGGTTACAATGTTCACCCCTCATTTATAGGTCCTGGGTTCGAATCCGGACAGGGACGGAAATAATTTTTTAATGTTCCCCTTTCACCTTCCTTAGTGCTCTGTAACAATGTTCTGTCGTTTGTTTTCATCGCCACTTTCTGTCCCCACCCCTCACCTCATTTCCCCCCTCCTCTGGGCTCCTGACTCAGCAGTCGTTCTACTGCTACTCTTTGGCTCCTTCTTTCTACTGTATATCAGCCACACCCCTGATCTTATGATAGGTAAGATCTAACTCCTAGCCTTCTCTGATAAGGGCGAAAAATCTCGGAGGTCCAGTGTGCAAGTTGCACATGTTAAAGATCCCTTTGTGGTCCCAAATCGATAAGAGTAGGCTTCGGCCGCCACCCGGGAGAAATTCAAAACCTATTACCAGCTGAAAAATGTTTAATAATATGTCCCGCGCTCTCTTATGACTGCATGCTGCTGTAAACACCGTTAAACACTTAAAGTTAAACAATTTAAAAAAAACGTAGCAATACGAAGAACTTACCCAGTTCAAGGGCGCTTACCGAACATTTTAATGGGGCAGTATAGCAGAAGTTTAGTTGTCTCCCCTGTTGCTTTCTCAACTTCCACAAAGGTGCCCAAAAAGTCTCTCATGGGGTCCACATACATGATGGTAGCGTAAACTTGAAATATTTCCGCTTCGGGTGTATTTATTTCTCGCCGGAGTACTCTGTTGGACAGTCCGTCAGAACAGTGCGTATTACAGTTAGAACGTTAAGCTCATAGTTTGTTTTGTTTTAGTAAGGTTTTACGCCTCTCGCAACTACGGTCAAATGAGCGCCAAGGGGTGGATGTCAACAGAGAAGCCCTTACAGGGAATCAGGCACACACTCTGCTTCGACTATCATGGCACCACGGAAATAGCAGTTCACCAGAGAGTGAGAAACATACAAAAAAAAGAAGAGGAAGAATAACGATAGCAAGGATGAGGAAAGAAAAAGCAGCAGTTCTCCCTATGTTGTTCCAGAACAGTATGAGTAAAACATTGATAAATTAGCCCATTTACAGTTCTACTGTGCATAAGAACATGTTATTATTCCCCCTTTTTGAAGGGCCTAAAGACAACTTTCGTCCATACGTTAAGCTCATAAGATAATTCGCTACCCTAGAATTACAAAGTTCCTGCTGGCATTTTTTTGGGCTTCTTTGAGTTACTTCATGAGGTCAGAAACCAAATGCTCATTATTCTCTGTCTGAATCATCAGATTATTCTGAGGCCTTATCAAGATATTTAAAGAATTGCATTCGAAAAGTTTGAAATGTTGTGAAGCTCAAACGTTTTATTAAGTCAAATTTCTCAAAACTAGGTACTGAGCAGATAGAACTTTGTTATTCTGAAATAGGGAATTGTCTGCGTCATTTTTCAAGCCTGTTAACATAGTTCAATAATTCACTTGGACAAAAGAATAACCAAAATAACGTAAACTGAGTGTGCCAAAATTCAAGCATTTCCCAGTGTCACTTGCTAGAAAGAAACAGTTTTTTTATTCTCAAAAAAGGCTAAGACTGACTTAGATATCTCGCTACCTTAAAATTACAAAGTTCTATCAGCTCAGTACCCAGTTTTGAGAAATTTGGCATTAAAAATATAGGTTTCATGACGTGTCAAGCTTTTTTGAAAGCATTTCTTTGAAAATCTTGATAACGACTCCGAATAATATTACGATTTTGATAGAGCAGATAGAGCATTTGCTGTCTGACCTCATGGTCTAAATAACTGAAAACAGCCAACGTCAGCTATAACTTTGTAATTCTGAGGTTGCGAAATATCTTTTGAGGTGGACGATAATATTGGAAAAAAAAGTCAGGCTTTATTCCCAGTATAATTGTTTAACTAAAATATGCATCATCATCATCATCATCATCATCATCATCATCATCATCATCATCATCATCA